ATATGTGCCATCTTCTAGTAGGCTACTTTTTCGTGATTTCGCACCTCACTGTTCCAGCAGATGCGGGGCGGCAGTAGGGACTCACCTCATTATCTGCCCGCTTTCCCCATCAGAGCGTTTGATATCGCATGTGATCATTATTCTGACGCTGTTAGTTCGATCACAACCAGACACAAGAAATTCATCGCAGCATTTTTTAAATCATGACTGTACCAATTGTCGTATTCCGATCATCACTTACTTATCATCTCTCCAACCGTTCTCCCAACTTAGGCTTTTCCATTTGCTAGAAGTTTTCGCTTCACCTTTAGGGGAGTGATCTCTGGAGCGATGTTACATCCCGCACCTGCGTTATAAAGCAGTACAGTGCAGCGAACTATCATCTTCATTGCCTTCCATGTAGATTCAATCCTTGAGAATGAATGTCTCATTGAAAAAGGCGTTAGCCATACACCGGTACGCAGTACCGACGCTTCGCTGCCGCGCAACCATCACCAGTCGCACTTAGGCTAAGGATACTGCGAGGGTCGCCCGTTCCCTTAGCAAGCTCTAACCCGCGCTCTCGGATTTCAAAGCAGGCTTGTGATCCTTAAGGCTACGGGCCGGCGAATGTCTCGTAACCAGCCTGTGTTTCACACACGCTGGGTATGATTGTGCCTAAATCTTTCACTAGTCAAGTGTCCTGACTGTTCATGCATTTACCTTTAGTCATATTGTTGATGTAGTAATTGTAGGGCAACTTACAGCAGGTTTGGCACTACTGATGTGATTTATTTTGTGAAACTACAAGTGTCATCACGTTGGTTTCATTTCACCAAACCACCACACTATATCAACGTCAGCGCCTTTCATTTCGCTGAGAGCATCCGTTAGAGAAACCACTCATCTTAATTTCTCAGTCCACACATTAGCTCGACGTGAAAGTACCTCGGCTATTGTCCCGCAATTCAGCATAAGTATATAACCGTAAACGCACAATAAATGAATACTATTATGCATTCCTCAACACGGCACTCTACGACTGCTTCACTTCTTACTCGAGCTTCTCAGGCGGAAGTAGCCTGAGCGCAGAGTACAACTTGACACATTGGCTGACGGTTTACGCCTCGGTCACTAGACTACAGCCCCGTGATCACCACCTGACACACCCACGGTTTACTTTAAAGTAACCAACATGCAATTGCTGTAGCATTTCGCCATGCAGACACGCAGTGAGCACTCCAACTAGATTATTTTGTTTTTATTTTGCCTTAAGAAGGCAATTGTGGCTGGAGGAAAAGGGACGAGGAACCTCACAATACAAAAGCCAGTGAACTTTGCTCTCTACTATGTTGCCAACTGTATCCAACCAAATAAGTTCATCGTGTTTCGGATCCCAGCCCGGTAGTCATGTGACACCAACCAAGGTAACGTTCGAAGTGAGAACCTCCATTTTGATTGACTAATTCATCAACCGCCTCCCTTTCTCTTCCTCCATACACACCTCGAACACGCAAATAACGCACATCGCTGGAGGCGGTGTGGTGGCATGCGCAACTCATGCCGCGTGAGACGACAGTGCTAGGTAGTTCACTTGCTCTTCCTGCTCTATAAACGAGACGGCGGACGCGTCCATTGCTCTCACTGTGTTTCCACCGGATACTAAACTTCGAATGCAACGCGATTCGCAGCCGTACAGTTATATCTAATGGAAGGTTGCATTGTACATTTTTGATTAAAAAACTAAATAAATGATTTATTATTAGCATTGCGAGACACCTTCAAAGGCATGATCATGCTAATACAAACGCGTAACATCAGTAATGGTACAGAAATGTTGGAAGGTAACCAGTACATACCGGATATATATGTGTGCACAATATGTATGTGTGCCCCATGCTGAGACTGATGTCACACTCATGATGCTTCTTCACCGCAGTTGGGCTAAACCGACTTACACTTAAACTAAGTCTTTTTAATGTGGATAAAATTCATTACATTTTATTTGGTTTGTTCTGCGTACTTGATAATCTTCTCCCAACTTACACACTCCGCTCATGCAAATTGCGGTAAGCTTGCGTAATTTTATCGCGTGGTATTTTTTAAACAACTTTCGGATATTTTGTACTTATTGCGTACTCACATTTAACCAACTTCTTCCGTATGCTCATGAAGCGAGTATTTATGTCGTCATATGCGTTTACTTTATTCCATATCGGCATTTCCAATGATTGGCTGTTGTTTGACTTCACAGGTGTGGCTGCACTTGCTATGCATGTTGACGAGGTGCCTACCTGTCTATCACCAACTACCTCGTCCATATTGGCTCCAGGAGACAGTTGGTGGTTGCTGGAGGGGACGGGGTGCACGGTCCTTGTGGTCGTGCTAACCTCGAAGAGTGGTTCCATGCACTCAGTGTGGAGCGGATCACGGTCCAGCCACCGTCTTGTGTGCGATTGGTTCCCAAGTACAGCGTTCTTGTGTTTTGCCAGTGAAAGAGTGTGGGCCGGCTCAGTTGCTGAAGTTTGGCTCCCATCCGCATACCTCCCGGTCTTATTCTTTCGGGTTTACACTGGATATGGGGCGTGTGGTCGGAGCTGTGGGTGGTACTGCGCAAGCCACCCATGGTGCTTCTGTATGCGCAGGCGTCCTGTGGCTGTCGTATGGAGGTCACATTTAAAGTCAAATCCGAAACCGGATGCCGCCAGCCATGTATGTATGTATAGGTGCGGACACGGAAGTGTTGCCTCGAAGTGGAATGTGGAATGTGACGATATCGTCTTGCTTTTCGACAGTGTTGTCGCGGCACAATCAACCCTGAATAGCCTGTCCAGAGTGGTCCTATTATTTGGCATGTGCATCGCACTTTCAAAGTACGAAGTGTTGCTACAGCATCACCAGCCACTTGATGACCCCTTGACGCTTGTTAACGAAGAACTCGAGTTGGTTGATCATTTCACTTATCTTGGCAGCTGCTTCAGCAATGATGGGCGCATAGAAACTGACGTTAGCTCCACGCATTGCAAAAGCCAGATCTACCTTCTTGAATCTGCTGCATCTTTGGCGACAAAAGGGAGTTTCCCTCCATCTGAGAGGCCGGGTATACAAGGCCACAGTGAGGGCCGTTCTGCTCTATGTTATTGAGACTTATCCCCTTCGGTCTGAAGATCTGAGGCGCCTTCAAGTCTTTGATCATTGTTGTCTGCGAAGCATTGCTGGTGTCGGATGGCACCAGCGTGTCCGCAACGATGATGTGCGTAGGCGAGTACTAGGTGGTGATAATCATGCTAGCTCCCTAGAACAACAGATAGCACTGAATAAGTTGCGCTGGATCGGGCACGTGCTACGTATGCCTGGTCACTGCTTAATTAGGTGGGCCTTGTTTAGTCTGCCAGGTGTAGGGTGGCGCAAGGCTCGCGGTGGACAGAAGTTGACTTGGCAGCGGGAAAAGAAGTCACTGACGACCAAACTGGGTGCGGTTGGTCCGTCTCGCCTTTCGGGCTGTAGTCCACGTGACTCGCCTTTTGCTTGGCTCGAGACTTTACAGGACATGGCTCGCAGTAGACGCCAATGGCGCGTCTGCTGCCGTCTCCTAATCGGATTGTTTATTTAACGTGTGTTTGGTGCTGCGTTCTCTGCGGGGTAATGGCTGATTATGGCACGGGGCAGTGAAAGCCGCAAGGAAGCTGTCTCGCCGATGCCGCCTTATCTTTGCACGATAGCCAGCTGTTTGTGACGGTATGTTGTCTAAACAAGGTGTAGGCGCCTTCACCCTGAATGTTTGCTTAAAGCATTAAGGTTTTCAGGTAAGTCCCCCATCTCTCCCTCTTCTTATTCTTTATTTCATAGGTCCTCATGGTTGTATGTCAGCGAAGCATCAGTTCAAACAGCTCATGTACTGCTGTTGCTGCTACTGCTGCTGCTGATGATGATCGGACTGGTCGAAAATCTACACTCGATAAAACTTTACGCTCCACCATAGTTGGAATTTCTGTTCTACGAAGTATTCGTTTAGGGCAACAATGCGCTTGCTTATTCAATCGAGCTTACGAGGCCTGCGCTCTAATGACGACTTACAGACTTCGCGTCTCCGCTAGCATTGAGTAGCTGACTTGCGGTAATTGCGGTTTTGGATATGATTCCAACTGATCTACGAAAGCTACTTTTCTAGACCGGACCCCACTGAACAGATGTTTGTGCATCATTCACCTTCTGAGCTCCGTCGGATTCAACAAAAAGTGACTGAGAACAAAGTGGCTTTAGGTGGTTTCGATGTACTCTCCCACCGACTGCAGCCCGGAAACCCTCAAAGACGAATTTTGTCAACAGCTTTCTTCAACAGTTTATCTGGCCAAGGGGATGATATCGGGATCTTCGCGAGCGACATGTATGCACATATAGATTGCTTATCAGAACCAGAGTGTCGTTTCGCCGTCCGTTTCAGAATTGATTCGTGCCGTACTGACAGTTGTGACCGCTTTATTCAACTCTATGCGGATCGCGACCTTTTTGTTATCATCACAGCTTTCCAGCATAAATATCCACATCGAGTCGCATGACAGCCACTGAGCGACACGTTACCCTTGACTCAACCTACTCACTTTACCATCTGTCATAGGTGGTGCATCTCATTACAGCCATGTTTTTCGATCTAGAGCACTAGTATCAATTCTGACCATACTATCGTGCGCGCCTACTTAGCACATGCAATCTCTTCTGGGCGCATTGCATAGAAGTGATTGTTGTGCTGCATTCAAGTTTGTTCCAATCGCAGTGAGGTTTCGGTTTCTTTCTTGCCGATAGCAAACCACGAGTCTGCAATCTGATCGCTTAACGGCATTCCTAACATTATTTGTTCTCCTTTTAAGATCTTCCTTTGCCTGTTCTCGCTGGTTTAAAGCCTGTGCTGTTTACCCATGCCTAATTTTCTACTTTGTGCTCTGTCGCTTTTTTCTACGAATCTACTCCACTGCTATGACACCTGGTGTGTTGTATGTGCCCTCTTTCTTTGCTCTTTTCAGACAACGTGTGTATTGAGTCTATGAGTTGTGTCCTCACTCGAAGATCGTTGGAAAAAGCAACCTCTGCTTTGGTCAGACTAACTGAACGTGTGAAAGATGTAAAGGAGCATAATGCCGAACGCTTGAAGGATGAGTATCGTAGATTGGTTGAAGGACTAAGACAAGCTCGGATGTCCAAGGAAACAGATGTGGTGCTAGCCAATCCAAGTAAATTTTTGCTTACTGTCCACTGGCCGGTTTTCCGCATTGCATTGAATTTGCCTCTCAACTCCACTGTGAACCGTTCATGCTTTATCATTCATTGAGATAAATACAATGGCTCTTCATTTAAGTAAAAAATAGAGTAAGTTTACACGAAGATGGCCATCCATCCGGATTTGAATGCAACTGCGGATGTTTGTTTTTGGTTTAGACAGATAAATAACCCTATTTTTGTTGTCGCACTGACTGGCGTCATTCGCTTGCCCTAAAGGCCCTCGATTCATCAGACTTGAATTTAGCTATCTGTAATGTGGTAACTAACCCTGATCAAATAAATACATACATATTCCCGGCAACGCCAGGCATGCTTTTACAGGTATGATCATATTAGGATAGCAAAGAGTGATCAAGCATGTACAAAAATACAATGTATTTTCCGTAACAGTGAATATTTATGTGGGGGTGTGTATATCTATGTAATTGTGTATGTGTGTAGCTGTGTAGTTTGTGCTTGTAAGTGTGCCGCTGCATCGTTGACTATTCCCTTTAGTTGGTAATGTGAGAATAGATGATTGATGTCCGTGAGCTGGATAAGATTATTCAGATATTCATGGTGTAGTGACTTTATTTGGTGGCGAGTCATGACCGCCACGTCGCGGTGTTGATAATCGGACATTTGTGGCTTTTTGTATGGAGAACGCTTGCCAGGCGAAAACCCACCACCCGCCGAACTATTTGTTGGAACGGGTTAAACCCGAAACACCCAGCCGGCACTACGAGAAGGTTGTTCGACTAGCCAGCCTCGGTCCCATTTGAGATTGTCTGTCGCTATCTCCTCACACAACTAGTTCTTCAAGTAAAACCAACGATGAACTCGTTGCGTATCTGATGGTTAACTTTCAGCCTCGGCACTCTGTCCATTCCACCATGCGTTTGCGCCCCTTTTGACCTTTACGCCCTTATCAATGGTTCCGCTCGACTGCTCACGCAAGTAGGCGCCTATCCCGCTTATTTACGATGTATTAATCAGCCACAGGCAAGTGACTGTCCGCTATTTACCAGTCAATTAACGAATTTGGGATCCGTTCACACATTCGCCATTTCTCTTTACCCAAAACAGATAGTGAAGTGTATGAATTCGGTGTTTATTACCATTTACTATAGCTTACTCGGCAACAAACAATTGTGATCTGTAAGTATAAATGAAGTGGTTCTCACACTTGACACTGCACTCTACAGCTGGCATCCTGTTTGTTTGCACCTTTCAGGTGAAAGTTTCCGGCTTTGGGACTCTAGCCCGAGACCTAGCGATTGATAGCTAACGCCTTGCTTACTACGGCAATTTGCGATTACTGCTTGATACAACGATGGGGAATTCATTGTTGGGTTTTCCGGTCGTGTGTTTACTGGCGATACACGATGTCAATTCGGGTACGAGTTATTTTAAGGTCAACCCTGCTCATTCCTATCGCTAAAGCCGCATCCGAAGTAGTTATTTTCCTGTTGCCTGTTACCGACTCTGCACCCAGGTAGTATCCTAACAGCTTTCGGCGAGTCGTTTCGTTATTTCGAGCGTGCATGGACAATTATTGTCTTGGAATACCGGAGTTGTGCATTTACGCTGCTTAATTTATACACTCATCTTACTGTACCACTGACTAATGCTTGCCTCGAAGATATTTTAAAGCCTATTCGCTTTTCGTTCCTGCATTAAACTACCGCCAGGGCTTATCGTTATCGGATTTTAACGTGGTGGGTACGTCTGCGACCTTGGAATCTTAGTGGGTTACACTTTCTAGAGCCTTTCAAGACCACTCCTCCCCGACGGGTTTTGGTAAGCTGAGGTCGGTGTTCACATCATCTGAAGACTGCTAGAGGTTGGTGACCCGCTCACTTACAGTTGACCTTTGCCTCAACTACGTCAACTCATACGGTCGTTACATGTAGTTGGCCTCAAATAAACCCTCGTGTTACCATGCAGTCACACTGGTGATCTGGACCGGCTCCTCAATGCAATGGACTCAAGTGCAGTCCCACATGTATATGCCCTCATCAGTTCCACTATCCTGTGATTCAACCGCTTGACTCAAAGACCAGCGTTATGCGCACTCCAGTCGAACCCTCTAGATCGGTAACTTGCTAATTCCGTATGCCAAAATGCTCCATTATCACTGGTCTTTTTTCTGTCGCCCTTTAAACCCATTTGTTCTTATTCCCAACAAGTGATGCTGTTTCGGTTCGCGACTAATGGAACCCATACTGCTGATTGGACCATCAAAGTATGCACTTTGTCGGGTTAGTTAAAAGGCGTTTTGTATGATTTTGCGATCTCGGGTTTGGTGTGTACAGTTTCTCCGAAACACACAGGGCAACGTCTAGCTATATGGCGCCCATAATATTGTGGTTCCAGTGATTTGGCCGACATATTTTGCTTCTATGGTTGTTTTGATTCCAGCACTGTTGTGTATTTAGGTTGTCAGAATCTCTTTCAGGAGATGCGCTAGAACTGATGGTAACGAATGCCCTTGTCTGTTGGGTGTCGTTCTCAATGTGTGTACGTCACTTTGAAACGGCATCTGACTTGGAATAACATAATTGACTACGAGCCTTGGCGAGTGGTGGGGGCCCGTAAGACGAGCGCCGTTGGGAACCCCCTAGATACTTGTGTGGCAGATAAACCAGTGAAGATGTTGCTTCCCACTTTATTAAGGCTCCTGTTTGTTTGTTTATTGCCTCAGACACTTATACAGGCTGTGCAATCCACATTTTTCCCGGTTACAACACACAATGCCGCACAGCCCGTGGGAACGAATGGGCGAGGTTCGATCACTGTTCACTGGGCAATGGAAGTTTCATCACGTTTGATCACCGATCACTGTGGAGTATTCTTCATACTTGATGGGGACACGTAATGGGTTCCACAGAAGTCCTTCCTTTTGTGCTACTAAACAGACCCCTTAGGTGCGTGCTTAAATTTACCAAATTCGGACTGCTTACTCTAACCAGTTAGTCTCTTCTGTATTCCCGTCGGCCGCCTTGTCTGCGCTCACCGCTGCTGCTACCTTCTCATTGTTGTGTGGAACTCCCAGGTGACTGGTTGTTTTCCTCACTACAGTTGGAAGAAATTCACCACAGTGCATGCTCATTCTGATGCATGCTGCGTTCGTTAATGTTGTCTTCAGGATTGGCCACACGCATGAGCAGAATCTCTGTAGTTTGTGACACAGTGACGTCTTTGCATTCGCCCCACTACCTCTGATTCTGAACTTCTTTTACAGTTTCTGCTCCTTCTTTTTTCAATTTGATCTATTTCCTCTCTCGCTTCCTTTTTCGGCAATTAATAAATAAATAAATAAACGTTTTATTCCTCAGCAGTGCGAGGCAAAGACCAATTGCGTGGTCTTATCAACATGTACAACGTGATCGCATAATATAGTTAATTGTTCGTCTTTTGATCAAAGGTTCCCATATGGGTTTTTGAAATGATTAGCAGTCAATAGGTCAGTCACAATTTGATGGAAAATCTTGGCGAGTGACGACGATGGTACAGAGACATCAGCTTGGAAGGCGTAGTGCATCAACGAACCAGTACGTCAAAGGAGAAAACAGAATTGGTTAAACGGATTAATAGGAGTAAGATCGTTCTCAAATATATACTCAAGAATGCAATTATATGTAGGTAATCTTATATTATTGGAACGAATAGAGGATATGGTGACTTTCATACGTAACCAGGACCTTTCTCATACAAATCATCTAGAGTCATCGTTTGGCTTAGTGTTGACCAGATGTTTGCAACAGTCAGGTGAATAATAATCATGCGTCTGAATTGCGGATAGGTAGTGCAGTTTCTAATGCTCAATGGAAGTTTGTTCCATATTAACGCATATTTTACAGAGAAAAATTTTGAGCGGAGCTTTGTGCGAGACTTTGGTATTTTCACTGTGCGCTCGCTGTTTCTTAGTTCATAGCGCATACGAGTCTGAAACTCGAGTTGTGGCTGAGCAGTGAAGGTCAATCCGAATAGTAAGCGGTATAAAAGGCACAGATTAAGTTTGAATCTGCGTAGCCATAGCGGCTCCAGATTTAGCGCCTCGCAACGCTCACGGTATGTCATAGTATTAGGCATGTTCAGAAACCTTTTTGTGAATGCTCGTTGAATGTTTTCTAGTGCTATAATATCCACTTTTCTCAGATTACTATGCACTATCGTACAGTACTCAAGTTTCGGCCTAACACATATTTTAAAGGCTTGAAGCCTGGAATCCCTCAAAATAAGGGTTCTACTTATGTAGGCGATCACTTTTCTGGCAGAAGCCTGCAAGAATATAACATGCTCTAACAAATTAAACGAGGCAGAATATCTTAGACCAAGGTCTCGGACTGCGCCACACACAGGAATAGGGGTATCGTTTAATGTAAGGATGTTCAGAGAAGGGCCACAGCCGTAGTACAATAGATTACTCTTGTCCGTGGCAAAGTGCAGCTTCCAGGAATTACTCCAGAGCTCCAATGCGGACAAGTCAGACTGAATATAAGCTAAGTTAGGACTACGTTGCCCAGGGGTAGAACAATACACAATTTTAACATCATCTGCGAAAAGGTACGGCTTTCCATACTAGATTTCGTCGAGGAGATCGTTGAAATGGATTAAGAATAAAAGCGGGCCTAACACGCTACCTTGAATCACTCCACTAGAGATTGTAGTGGCTTCAGATGTATAGTTACCGATTTTGACTACTTGCTTTCTACCCTCGAGGTAGGAAGACAACCAGTCTAGAAGCGAATTAGTGATACCATAGGACATAAGCTTCAGCAGCAATAAATTGTGTGGGACACGGTCAAAAGCCTTTTGGATATCAAGAAATATTACGATGATAGCACTTCCGGCGTCTCTTCCTCTAGTCACATAATCAAGGTAATCTAACTGGCAGGTAGTGCACGACCTACCTTTCAAAAAACCGTGTTGATGTTTACTGAGTAGGCTCATAGAACTCAAATATTCTATTATGCGTTCTTTAACTATTCTCTCCATGATTCTGGAAATAATAGATGTGTGGTGGATTGGGCGGTAATTTTTTACATCTTGCATAGATCCGCTTTTGTGCCTTGGTATTATAGTTGATTGTTTCCAGTGTATAGGATACTCCCCATTGAGCATGGAAAGTGTAAATACATTAAGCAAAAACAGGGGGATGTCTGGACCTCCATGCTTTACCAGTATTGGAGGGATGTTGTCAGGGCCTGGTGAGCATGATGGCCGAACTAATCTGAGTTGGCGACATATGTCACTAAGTGTAAATTCATCAGTTTGGAGTGTATTACTCCCTCTGTGTATCAGCTTGAGCTGAGGATCTTCTTTCGCATTAGCGCCATAAGTAGACATAAAGTAGTCATTGAAGATCGAACATATGATTGCACGGTCGGTTATGGCAGTTCCATCAGAGTTTACAATGGTGGTTATACAACTTGATTTTCTATTCTGCCTACGGTCCAAAAGTTTTGAGATGCAGCCCACCACATTTGCGCCCTTCAGTGTCATTACTTCCTCAGAGCATAGCATTTTGTGGTGGTCTTGGTATAACGCTGTAAGCAATCTGGTGTAGAGCATCAGCAGAGTAAAATCGTTAGTTTTCCTAAATTTTTTCTTTATTTTATAAAGTTTAATGGCTACCTTTTTTGAGATGCCTGCAGGAGCAGCAGTCCTTTTCAACTTTTTAGTACGTTCTGGAGCCACAGCTTCAACACAAAGCTGAATGCGGTGGTAGAATTTATTACAGGCAATTTGTACGTTCTGTGCTAAGAAGAATGGATCCCAATATGAAGACCTTATAAGATCCGAGAAAATTGACCAATTCACAGAAGAGAATGGGCGATAATTTATCACTGATTCTGTCGGTTTAGAAAGAATTTGGAAAGAACAACCAACAATGTTATGATCACTACCCGGCAACTTGTCACTGATGTATGTGGACACATGCGAACATCCCATCGTAAATATTAGATCAAGTGTGTTTCCAAGTCGTGTAGGTTCTGTGACGTGCTGTACCCATCCCAGTCGATCAAGAGTAGACATAAAAGGATTGTGTTTTTGTGGTTTATTGTTAAGGGACCACGGGATTTCGGGCATATTAAAATCCCCAGCGATTATTTTGTTAGTGTATGAGAGGTCAGCAATAAGAGAGAAAGTGTCCAACAAGTCATCGGTCACGGTGAGTGTAGACGATGGGGGTCTGTAAATACAACCTACTAAGAGATTTGTTGGATTAATAGAAATTGTAATCCACACCGAATCAGGAAGTCTCTGGAGGAATGGTTCACTCAGAGGCAGAACCAAGTATTTGTCTTTGACGTAGATTATACAGCCACCACCTCTACCATAAAGACGGTCATTACGAAAGATATTATAACCCAGTATCCTGAACAATGTGTCAGACATCTCTGCTGAACACCATGTTTCTGTAATTAGTACTATATCAGGAGAAGAAAGATGAAGGATACTACGCAGGAAGTGCATTTTATTTAACAGTGAACGGGAATTAATTAAAAGTAAGTGCAGTGTCTTGTTATCCGTTGGGTTGTCTACAGGAATCCAGGTACAGGACCCCAACGAGGTGGTATTTGGAGAGAGTGGAGTGGGGGTGGTGGATACGAAGGACATTTAATTTGCGGGATTGGTGTCATTTGGGGGTGTGGCGGGTAGAACGCCACTGGACCCCCCCAAAAGGTTGGAAGGGTGAAATACTGGGAAAATGGCGACCCACTGGGAGATTACAGTTTTCTGGCTGTTGCACATAACCTACGTTCCAGTTAAGATTATTTACATGTTGAGGTAGTTTGAGGGGATTTTGGTTGGGCCAATTTCTCTCAGCTACTTGAAGTTCCCTAGCAAGTGGCTCACAAGTTATGGAGCGCACAGGTCGCATATTCAAATGCTGCATGGTTGGAGATATGCCGATTGTCTGCTGGTTTTCAGTGGTGACAGCGTTTGGTGGAACGTTTACAATAGCTGTGTTTTTATTCTGCTTAGGAGCACCCGTGTAGATTCCACGTGAGGTTTTGCTACCAGTTCTTTGCAACAAGGCTGTTCCGCAGTTTTAAAGGTTCGCAGCTTTTAGGAGAGGAGGTTTTCAGTTTCGTACCAGAGCGTCTATGCACCTGATTGGTGAACGACAAACAGTGAGTAGAAATAGTCGTTTGCGCAATGGAACTTTCTTGTATGTTCGGGGACGAGTTGCGCGGTAATGCTGGACTAATGTGACACTGAATGGAGTCAGAAGCGATATTTTTTTGACAGTTGCTATTTGATTTCAGCCTTAGAGCTGATTCCTTTATGATCAGAGTGTCATCTAGGTCAACCAGGTGGGGAAGTTCCTGAGTTTCCGTGGGTGGCGGAACACGTTGGCCACAGGCTGTTTGTCGGAAATAGGCTTTTTTGCACTCCCTTTGTAGTACTGTTAAATCTGGTTTCAGGACTATGGATACGTAATCTTTCCTAAGGGATTATGCGCTCCTACTACAAATGAATTTTCAGCAAGTGTGTCGTTTGAAAATTTAAAGAGTACTGGACAGACCTGCTTCGGAGATTTCTTTCTCAGCCTCACACAAGAAAACTGCCGTCTTTCAATATGACAGTCGTTTGCCACTGCAGAGGAGATAGACTCAAGAGATAACTTTTCTGATAAATTAAATGCTATAACATTTTTGGAGCGTTTAATGCGATCATGCACCTCAAATGCAACATGTTGTATAAGATTCCCAACGGATCGAAGGTGTTCGATTTTTAACAGAATGAACTGAGGCAACTGGAAACACCCGTCCCGATGTATTTCTGACAGCCTCCTTTGTTCTATGAAGGAGGGGGCGCAGAGCAACGTATTCCACTGTGTGGGGGAATTTATTTTTTTCTTGTCGTTTTTCATGTATATATTTCGTTTTACATTGCTTTTTCATTTCGCAGTTTTACCGGACGAAATATTACAAGAGGCGGTCCCTGGACAACTGCGCAGTGCCGACAGCTTCTTAGCCTTCCTTCGTCGATTTTTAGAGTATGTCAAGCTGCGTCTGCGCATTGCTCACGTGGTACATGAAACCCCAGTGGCTTTTCTTCGCGACTGCTTAGAGAAAGTATGCGTGGATCGCCGCCCACTTCAGTGAGTTATACAGTCGGTTCGCATCTCACTCATCATCCGAGGTAGCTTAAACTGATGTTTTCAGCCTGGTCATCAGGCGATCATTTTCCATCGAATCACACTTTGCCCACACTTACGACTACGAATTGCTTGTCTTTTCAGTATATTTTTGCATACCCTTGTTATCCACTTTGGTCCCCTTTAATGATGCCGACTTGGCTGCAGTGTCTGATGAATTTGGCTGGGGACCGTTTTATGCCCTGCATTTACCTTCGGCGCTACGAAATCCATTCCATTTTAATCAGCCAACTTAGGATGGACGCACACAAACTTCAGGTTTCGTGCGGATTCGGCACTGTCCAGTTTTATGCCAGGTAATACATCTGAACAGATTCGTGTGTTCTAGGTATAAGCGCCGCGATGGACTGTATTTATGTCAAATGACTCTATTATCGTTATCGGTCGTCTCGTAGACTCCGACTATTTGACGCTTGGCTTTCTATGTTTCCTCCACTTTTCTTGGCCAGCCTACCTCTGATAACCGATGCTCATAGGCCCACTGATTTCATCAGTCGCCAACCTGGATCATTATCCACTAGTAGGCGACCACTATAGAACCCTTGAAGATAAGATCAGTAAAGTTTTGTAAACATACTTTGCATTCTGTTGTGGTCATACCACTGTGTCCTTAAAGCTTGGAAGTGCTGCTCCTCACCGGATATTGGTCTAACCTTAACCTTTTCAGTCCTTACCGAAATTGGCAGTAATTTCCACATTAGTTTACCCACTTTGTGTGAGATCATGATCTGTACGATTTTACTAGCTCTCTCATGGTTTGTAAACACAGCACCCAGTCTTTCGATAATATACACTTGTGTTCTCGTATTAGAGGTGCACATTTAACCTGGATACCTGAGTCAACGCTTTACTGAGACTGCATTTACGAGCAAGTAGAAAGGTTTCTGTACAACTCTGTCGAATTATGAAAAATCAAAACTATTTAATTGCGAATCGTCAGCGGTAGTGTTTGGTCAGTTAATCGTTTATCCTTGTTCGGTTAGGAATTCGTATTGGTGTCATTGTTTCCGGACATAGGATGTATCTTTTGCATTGTATGTGCACCGTTTCACAAAAACAGGTTTCCGAAATAATCGTCGGTGCGTGTTTTAAAGCACTTCACAGAATCGGTCTATACAAAGCTGACGTGATACCTTGATTATTCAGGGGACCCTGAGTTTTTAACGGTATGCTCGGGTCTTACAGGGTTCCTGCAGCTGAAATATTGGCCGCAGTATGGGGAAGTGATTCAAGTGTAGTACTCGACGGGTCATAATAAGGTAGGATAGTGTGTTGAGTCCGAGCTTTTCACAACATTTTTCATATGAAAGCTTTCGTAGACTGGGAATCATTCTAGTTGCGATGTGCTGTATTTTCTCCAGCTTCCCACTAGGTTATCGGATGGTCAGCTGGGGCGCCGTATTCAGGAATTGGTCTGATGAGCGAGGTGAATAGGCGAGGGACGGCTTCTTCGGACCATGTGGAAAAACTGCGTTGTAATGCCCAGAGCATATGAAGTCCCGCACGGTACAATTTCTCTATATTTTCGAGCGACCTCACATCATGTCGCAAGAGCACTCCCAAGTTTCTGACAGATAGGTTAGGCTGGAACAACTGACCGACCAAGATGTATGGTCGAGTGTCTGGACGTCTGGTGATACTGATGAACTCCGACTTGATTGCGTTAAAAGGGAGTTGCATTTAAGTGGACCACGTTGACAGTCAATCTAAGTCATCCTGGAGGCGAGCGCAGTCGTCCTGGTTCTCAATGATCCTCCAGATTTTTAAATCCTCTGCAAACAGGGCACATAGTGACTGGAGCTGCTACGGGAGATCGTTGATATGAATAATAAATAAACTGGCCGAAGTACAGTTCCTTGAGGCACGCCACTGGTCAATGGGAACCAGCCTGTCAGGTAGTCATTGACCTGCCTTCTAAACTTTCGTCCCGCAATAAACTCGTGTAAGCACTGAAGTAGCGTGCCACCGATTCCGTAGGTCCTCAGTTTACGAAGGAGTACCTCGTGATTCACTCTGTCAGATGCCTTACTAAAGTCGATGCACACACGTCAACATACTTCCGTTCGTAGAGAGCTCATACCCCCTGGTGGTTTGCGTACATCAACTTGGTGATGCACGATCGCCCTTTCGTGAAGCCGTATTGCGCGGGCGTTCATACGTGCATCGATTCGAAGAACAACAACAGACCTTTTTTACAATGTTCTCGAGAAATTTAGATAACATCGAAGTCAAACAGATCGGTCTATAGTTCTACTTTACTCGGATCACCACCCTTGGGAATCATCATCATCATCATCAGTATACACGTTAGCTAGAGGTGGGAAACACGTCAGCTACTGTGCCGCAGTGCATAGAAAAAAGGAGAAAAAAACAACTGGTGCAAGCCGGCTGAGCTACCGGTAACGGATGGGCATCGTTCCGATAAGCTACCAGCCGGCTGCTGTTCACCCAAAAAAAATTACTATGCAAAATTATATAAGGCTAAATAGTGAGATCGTGGTTGGAGGAGGAGGTTAAGAAGGATGGGGTGGGACAAAGAAACACATCACGAGCGCCACTGAGGTCGGCTCCTAGCCACATCAACAAGTGTATCCAGCCAAACGTGTTCATCGTCTTTCGGACCCCAACCAGGGAGCCGAGACGCTCCAACCAAGGCCAGCTCCGAAGTGAGGGCCTTCATTCCTATCGACCAAGCCATCGCTTGGCCACCCCTCCTCTTCTTCCATCCACACTCCCGGCGCGCAAACAACCCACGTCGCGGGAGTCGGTGGGCTGACATGCGTAATACATGGCCGAGCCATCGGAGCCTGTTGCGTGAAATGTCGGTGCTGAGCGGTTCATTTCCTTTTCCTGTGCTGTAAACAAGGCGTTGAACACGCTCGTTGCTGACGCGGTGTTCCCACCGAATGTGTGGTAAATTGCGAAGGCACCGCTGGTCGAACCTAACTAGCCTCTTTATGTCTGTTGATCTAAGAGGCCCGGTTTCACAACCGTACAGCAATGTCGAACGTACCGCTGCATTGTACACTCTACCCTTCAGGGCAACTGTAATGTCGCGCCACTGCCATAGGTGGCGAAGGTTAGCAAAAGCGCGTCGAACTTTTGCCACACGGTTCGTGATCTCATCTTCAATCCCACGGGCGCTGACACAACTTCCCAGGTAGTTGAATTTTTGAACAACTAGCTGATCCCCACCAAGGGTCAGCGAAGGAGGCGGTCCAGTCCAATCTTGGAGGAACGCTTTGCACTTCGAGGGTGAGAAGCAAAGCCCGAAGTGACAGACAACCAGTGCTAATCTGTGCAGTGTCGCTTGGCACGTTTGTGTGCTGTCACAGATTAGTGCCATATCATCAGCATATTCTAAGTCAAGAAGTTGTTCTCCTAGGAGCAGATCCACACCTAAGTCGTGTCCTGTAAACGCGATTTCCATGACTTCATCAATAGCGAAGTTGAAGAGGAAAGATGACAGCGGGCATCCTTGTCTCACGCCGCTGCAAATATCAGAGGGCTACAACTGCTGGCCATAAGCTCTCACTCTGCCTGAGCTACGCGCATATAATGCTCGGATAATATTCACATATTTCTTAGGTACACCTTTCCTGAGTAGACAGTCCCAAAGTGCACATCTACCCACCGAATCAAATGCACCTTTGATATCGAGGAACACGACGACCGTGGGCCGCCAATATATGTGACGGTTCTCCAACAACTGACGCACAGTGAAGATGTGGTCAATGCAGCCGCGACCCCGACGAAACCCGGCTTTCTCGTCACGAATATGACTTTCACGTGTGCCAGTCAGTCTGTGATGGATGACAGAGGCAAGCAATTTGAAGGCGATGGAGATCAGAATGATTCCTCTATGGTTGCCGCATTCCGATCGTGAGCCTCCCTTAAAAATTAGGACTATGACGGAACGGCTGCAGTCGGTTGGGACAGTTTCCTGCCCCCACAGTTGCACTAGTAACTCCTATAAATCATCCACAACAGCAGGTCCCCCGAATTTGAAGAATGCTGGGGAACGATCATCTGGTCCTGCGGTTTTATTTAACTTCAGCAGTGCGACCTCACATTCGACTTCTGAGCGAGACGGGACAGCCCATGGAGCGGGGCGATCAGTGGCCGGCGAGAAATCTAACAATTCCGACCGATTAAATTGCCTCGGAAAGCGGTCTCACTATCGAGCATTTCCAGTCGTTTGGGGACAGATCCTTCAGAGCATGATTTACTGAGTCAACTAAATCCCTTGAAGTCCAGAACATTTTAAATGCATTAAACGCATTTTCATTTGACGTAGCAGCTTCTCTTCGCAACGAAACTGCAACTTGTCTCGGTGCGCTGGTGTGTATGCCTCCGCAATCCAATTGAGACCTACTCTCACCGGATTGATCAGCGGTCAGAGGTCAAACGAACTCTCTGAGTCGGAGTTTGAGACTGGAGCAGCACACATTTACATAAAACCAGAGTGCTGTAGTATTCCGGCTTTCGTGCAGTCAGGCGTTTGCGAAAATGGCTTTAATTGAGGATTCTAATCACTCTGTTACATGAGTTTAACTGCACTGACCTTTCCGTAGCGCATGTGCAGCCGTGAATGTATTTAGCATCAACTTTCAGTCGCATACTACATCAGAGGCTTCGCACTTTCAAAGGGGTCACCTTGCATGCTACTGGTAATGCCTTCTTCTCTTTTTCACATGTTTCTCTTACTTTCCTTTCGACCCTCGTTGCTAAGGTTCCTCACACAATCCCAGGTCTAACAACAACTACAGCACCACTGGACCTGTCGTCCACAGCTATATTCCAACACCGCCCACTGTTCCTTTACCATCCCCTTACCACGTCATCTTGATTTGTTTGTTTGGCGGCGTACATTTGAACCCTATATCAGTTGTGTCACTGTATGATGTTTCCGATTAGATACTACTGCACCAGGAGCCAGTAGC